CTTCTGCACTCTGGGATCACTGAGGATGGTGCTGGAGGACCATGTGTGATACCAGGATTGAACTTGGGTCAGCCATGAGTCAGGCAACCACCCAAACAGCTGGACTATCTCTTCAGTCCCCAGCAGTCACATTTTAAATTTTAAAAAAATCAAGAAAAATTGGTCATAAAAAATGTATATTAAACTGAGACATCCTTTCACAAAACTGAAAAAAATGTTTAAGCCTGGAAATACTAAGTTTAAAATGAGATTCATGAATATTCCTAGAACCTATTGCTGAGTGTGAATTAATTCACACGTTTGCATGCCAGTAGTCATGCAAACTGAGGCACGTTCCACCCACACACTATCCAATCACGTTAACAAGTGATAGTTGATGCAATCAGCTCACATCAACCTCAATGTAACTTTTGAGCAAAAATATTAAGTCTCACCAAACCACATAAACCGCAGGTATCCTAGTATTGGGCTGAGAACCCTGGGTTCTTCTTAGAGTGGGAGAAGGAAATTCTAGCCAAGCAACTGAAATTCACAAGACACTCAATGGGTGTCTTACCCTTACACCGCAGAAAATCCTAGGGCACCCTGAGGAGGGGGTCCCGCCTTGCAGAAGCCACACCCCACACACCAGTGGTCTAACTCCATGGCTGCACTAAGAAACTCTGCACTAATCCCAGTTTCACAGATCCTAAACTTTCTAGATCGTAGCTGCAGATGGGGCCGCAAGACACCTCAAATTCCACAGAGAGAGAGGGACAGACATAGAATGACAGTACTCATTTGTGGAGCATAAAGTAACAGTATGGGAGACTAACAACCAAGGATAATAGAGATACGGGCCAGGAGGATGGCTCCACGGCTTGGAAGCTGAGGGAAAAGGCAGCTGGGATGGAGATGGGGACACTTAATGAATGATGCTTGGAGGGCTCACTCAGGATGGATGGGAGATGCGTGCTGAAAGTAGATTATGGACCGAACATGATGGCCACTTTGTACCCGTATTGCAAATCATAATACCCAAAAGGAGAGAGAAAGTAAAAGGGAATGTGCCTGCCACAGAGGCAGGGAGCAGGAAGAGGTGGGGGTGACGGGAGGGATGCTGGGAACATTGGTGATGGAGAATGGGCACTGGTGGAGGGATGTGTACTCCATCATTGTATAACTGAAACCTAATAACGAAAGTTTGTAAGTCTGTAACTGTATCTCACAGTGATTCATTGAAAATTTTTTATAATTTTTTTAAAAAGTTAAAAAAAAATTCCACAGTACCGAAATTCCAGTAGAAAACACCACATTGGATGAGAAAGTAACATAGAAGCCAACTAAACTCAACAATAAAAAACATTAACACAGAAGGTCAACTGGCGAGGAATAGTTAGTAAATCCTCAAAGACTTGACAACCCTGTGGTGAGATACAACAATTCTCACAAATTTTCATTTTCTGGAGCGATAGCACAGCGGTAGGGCGTTTGCCTTGCATGCAGCCAACATGGCCGACCCGAGTTCGATTCCTCCGCCCCTCTCGGAGAGCCCGGCAAGCTACCGAGAGTATTCGATATGCCAGACACAGTAACAACAAAGTCTCCAATGGAGATGTTACTGGGCCCGCTCGAGCAAATCGACGATCAACGGGAGGGCCTTTACCTTTACCTTTACCTTCATTTTCTGGTGTATTTTAGATAATTTCTTCAGCCATATGGCTGTAGCAAGCAATATAAAACAAATCATTGTGTGTCTGCTAAGGGGCAGGCTTGCGGATTGGCCCGGAAAACAGGGACAGTGGTGGAGGCAAGATCACTCAGGTAGCAGCACTGGTGTTGGAGTATCAAAAAGCCCATAACTGTCTTATGAGCAACTGTGTAAACAATGATGTTTAAATAAAGTAAACAAGAGTATTAAGTCTCAAAAGAATGTGGTTGCAATCTCTTTACATCTGGAGTTCAGCATGAAGAAAACATCTGAGAAAGTTTATTACTAAAAATCGGAATAGCGATTAATTCCTAGAAGAGTAAGCTGCCATCCCAGAGTGTGAGAGAATAATTCTCCAAAATACCATTTATTAAAAATTTAATAATAGGGAGAATGCATGCTTAGCCACACAGCCTTCATTTGCCTGTTAATGTATACCATACATTTCATAAGAAAATGACTTTTGTTCAGGAATACCAACAGGTGCAAAAAAAAGTTTTATATATGGCAAACATTTTTTTACTTGTTGAAGATACAAGACCCCAACCATGTCCTGAATATACTAGATAAGTATGCCAAAGAACAACTACAATAAAATTCTTTTTCTAAGTTAAAAATCCTTTTTCGAGGAGTATAATGACCTTCCTTAATTTTTCTGTTTTATAGGGATAATATTAGTTTATATGACCAACGGGCATATACAACTGCTTTGCAAATATACAACATAAAACTTCTATCACTGTCACTGTCCTCCCATTGTTCATCGATTTGCTCAAGCGGGCCCAGAAATGTCTCCATTTTGAAACTTGTTGTTACTGTGTTTAGCATACTGAATGCAACACAGGAGCTTGACAGGCTTTGCCGTGCAGGCGATATACTCTTGGTAGCTTGCTGGGCTCTCTGAGAGGAGCGGAGGAATCAAACCCAGTTGGGCCGGGCTGGCTGCACACAAGGCAAACGCCCTACCACTGTACTATCACTCCAGAGAGTTTTGAATGTCTAACTTACAGAAGAAAACTTCTATAAATTAGACATTCAAAACTCTCCTAAATCATGAAAAATACATGAAAATTGTTATCCATACTATGGCCATGGAAACCAAGCATGCTAATAAATATTAAAAATCTATCATTTTATAATGATTATCAATAATAACTATCTTGAACATTATTATGAATATTATATTAATAATTCAATTAAAAATAATTCAATTAAAAAATAAGATGAGACAGAGAAAAGATATTTTTAAAAAGATAAAAACCTCATGAACAGAATTAACCATTAGCAGGTAAGGCATTTGCCTTGTACACAGCCAACCCAGCTGACCCAGGTTCAATTCTTCCACCCCTCTCGGAGAGTCTGCAAGCTACCAAGAGTGTATCACCCGTAAGGCAAAGCCTGGCAAGCTCCCCGTGACGTATTCGATATGCCAAACACAGTAACAAGAAGTCTCACAATGGAGACGTTATTGGGCCTATTCGAGCAAACTGATGAACAATGGGAGGGCAGTGACAGTGACTACGCATTAATCTAAGTTTTAAAAATTAAAGACACAAAGTCTTTTAAATTATTTTTACATTTGGGGAGGGGGGTCACACCCAGCGATGCTCAGGGGTTACTCCTGGCTCTGCACTCTGGAATTACTCCTGGCGGTGCTTGGTGGACCATATGGGACGTCAGGGATTGAACCCAGGTCAACTGCATATAAGGCAAGCACCCTACCTGCTATACTATTGCACCAGCCCCCCTTATTTTTACATTTTTAAGAGTTCCTAGGCAAGCGATACAGCTCAGCAATAGAGTGTTTGCCTTGTATATATGACATTCTGAGTTTTATTCCTGGCACCACTAAAATAAATGTTAAATCTTTCTCATTGATCCAGAAAGATAGCTGCAAGAGTTAAATGCATACTCTGCATGTAGAAGGCTCAGGTTAGATCTCCTCTACCACACAGTCCACTGAGCATTATTAGGAGCAATCCATACAGGAAAGAGAACCTGACCACCACCAGAATGGCCCAAAAACCAAACAAAAAAAATACATTTTTAAAAGACTTCCTATCTCCATTGAGTTACTTTGCTTTGTTCTGTTTAATTTATATATTTGACATATTCTGACTTTATTTGGGGCATTGGGGCCACACTAGTGGATACCATAGCTTAGTCCTGTGTTTAGGGACCACAGGCTTGGGGGACCCTATGTAGTTCCCAGGACTGAACTGGGGTCAGCTGCATGCAAGGCAAGTGTCATAACTCCTATACTATCGTCTTAGCCCTCTGCTTTATATTTTTATATTTTTCATTTCCCACAGTAGTCGAGATTTGTGAGCAGACAGAAATTTTATCATCTTCATCCATGTGCCCCCAATTAGGCCTTTTTATTAAAACCCAACAATATTTTGACAAATGACTTAATTCCCACTTTATTGATGAAGTATAAACTGTTGACTTCATTCATATTATGTAATGGCAACTGATTAAAAAATTCAACCCTACAGGCTAGGAAGTGCTTAAACCTCACTTATCACTGGGGAAACCTTGGAGTTCATCCACACTTGGAATATTTTTCCATTACCATGTAACATAGGAATCATAATAAACTCAGAAAGAAGATGTTTGTTGTGACATAGCTCTCCAACTCCTTAAGGAATGCGCTTAGCCTATGGCTTTGCCTTGGGTAAAACAATGTCAAATGGCTTAAAGCAAACATAAAATACCAACCTTTCAGGTCAGGTACTAATCCTTTTACACAGTCAGATACTGGAGATTGTGATACAAATCAGATGGTTTCCAACTGGTTCTGGACATTAACAGTAGCTTATGAGGTGATAAGAATAGATTTTAAAATCACATCAGATCATAAATACTATTTAATATTAAAATCAGCAGCCACTCCCGGTTGTCTGAACAGCAGAATGGCAACCTAACAAAATAATCCCAGAGCTTCTGCGGGTCACAGAAAATTCGCTATGGACACCGGCTGGATATACTCACACATCTCCAACTTTAAAAGTGGGGAGAATTAAGAATATGTTATTAAAAGCTACTTATGTTTTTTTTTTCCAACTTGTGCTCATCTTTCAAAGAGTAAGACATTTAAACAAGCGAGTGAGAAGAAATCTGGTTTATCTTTACACTTTCTCCACTCTACATAGGTCACTAGCTCAGGTGGCTCAGTCAGGATTATTTAAATTCAGGAGCAATTCTGGCTTGATGAGCTCCTGCACTGCTGCAGGCTACAATCTTCGCACAGTGCCTGAAGGGTTATTACAATTGCAGGCATCTATGGAGGACAACAAAGAAGCCTTACCCCTTCCCGAAGGCACCTCATTAGCACTGTGTAGGCTGCCAAGGGAACCGTCCAGCGTTCTCTGGGGCTCTTTTTTTTTTCTTCCTAAAATGAAGTGAAAGGAAAGGCAAAGAAGTTAAATTCACAAAAGATATTAACCCATTCCAGAAACAGGCACCATTTCAAATACACAAACTATCTGAAACCTCTTAATGTTCTAGTCAAAGCTCCAGTGACTCCCCAACAATTCAAGGCTGCTCACTGTCTCATCCATGCATGGAATTTCTTCTATTTATCCTTGTGCTATGTACGATGTTGAAGAGAGTTCCTCATCAAAAGCGAGATGGAGAGAACTAAGAAATGTCGACAGGTTCTCAGGGACAGAGAAACCACTCCATTGATACCTGTAGATGTATACACAGGTATACTACCCAAAAGGCCTTCTATTTATTATCTGGGATGATTTTCAAAGTACAGAATGCATAGCCAGGATGATCCATAAGACAACGAGCCAAATAAGAATAAGCAAATGTGGGTTTTGCAGGTATATTCATTTTAAAGATATCAGCAGGCCTGAGAGATAGTTTGGTGGGAAGGGCATACTTGCCTTGCACATGGCCAGCCTGGCTTTGACCCCCAGCGTCCCATCTGAGTCCCAAGCACTACCAGAAGAGATTCCTGAGTACAAACCCAGGAGTAACCTCTGAGTATCACCAGGTGTGACCCAAATACAAAGACAAACAAACAGAAAGACATCAGCAACAACTCTCCAACCAAAGAACTAAATTAGGAAAATAACCATAAGAATACCCCCACAACCCATCAAATAAAAGCACAAAATAAATCAGATGCCACTCTTAAAGGTGTGAGAAAAGGGAAATATCTTTTATTTATTTATTTACTTATTTTTGCTTTGGGGGGGGGGTCTCACCCAGCGATGCACAGGGGTTACTCCTGGCTCTGCACTCAGGAAATACTCCTGGTGGTGCTCAGGGGACTATATGAGATGCTGGGGATTGAACCTGGGTCAGCCACATGTAAGGCAAACGCTCTGCCTGCTGTGCTATTGTTCCAGCCCCAGAAAAATTCTTTTAAAAGGAAAGGAAATTAGGTTAAGAGAATGTATTTACTTAAGACTGTCCAAATGGGCTAAGAAGACAGTTCACTGGCTAGGCCAGAGCACTGCTTTGCATGCTGGACACCTGGGTACAGTTCGCAGCACTAAAAGGTCCCCTGAGCTTAGAGGAAGCAACTCCCACATACTAAATTGGGAATGATCCCAAGCACCTCTGGAAAGGGAGGAAAGGAGGGAGGGAGGGAGGGAGGGAGGGAGGGAGGGAGGGAGGGAGGGAGGGAGGGAGGGAAGATATCAGCAGGCCTGAGAGATAGTTTGGTCCCCTGTTGAGAAACGCTGGTCTTGTCATTTATCATCAGGAACTGATTCACATTTTTAAAAAAATTTTTTTTTCTAAATCATCGCCCAATTTAGCTTCCTGTGTCTCACAACTTCTTCATTCCAACTCACATATGTAAAAGTAGCAGATAGTTCAACCTTTCTTCAACATCACTGGCCTCTGTCCACCACTCCAGTCCCCAATTCCCACCCCACCCACACACAGTCTATCACTTCCTTCCCTTCCAGCCCCTTGAGGTTCCCCAGCCCATCGTTCTTTGACCTATTCCTGCCAGAAGGGCCTGGGTCTTCCATCTTTTCTTTCCTCTTTCTCATCCAGAAAACTCCAGCTGGGAGGGAACCAGAGGTTTACTTCCGCCAGGCTTGCCCTTGGCAGCTGGGCCATTAGAACGTGCCAGCTGACAGAGAATCCTCCAGGACAGCATCTGCAACCCCAGGGACTCCCAGTGACACTCTTCAGGCTTTCAGTTTCTCTCTAAAGATACCTGTTTCAAACCTGCGACCCTCCCACCACTTCACCCTACTTTTCCTCCATCTCAGACATTAAGGAGCTTGTGAAATTGGATCAACCAAACCCCTGAACTACTCCTTTGTGACTAAGGCCCCAACGCTGTCATGAAACAGACTGCTAGAAGCTAAAGAGATAGAACAACCAGTAGGGCACTTGCCTTACTGAGGTCCGATCCCTGGCATCCCATAAGGTCCCGAGCACCATCAGGAGTGATCTCTGAGTGACTCATGGAATATGAGTCAGGGAAATTTACTGACTTACAATAAGTTTTAACTTAATACAATGGAATCTTAACAGTCCTTTTTCTCTAACCTTAAGCTGCATTCAGTTCCACTTACTTTTTTTTCCCTGAAATAATCACTTCTCTCTCCTAAATGTATTCCTACATTACTCTCATTTATGCTCTCAGTATCCTCTTCCAATTCTCCGTCTTCTGCACATTTAAACAAAGTATAGCTGGACATTTGAAAAACAAACATTGAGTTTGTTTTGCAAACATTAAACAGTACCAATCACCATGCAGTTAAAAATCCACAGATAATTTCTTTTTTTGGGAGGGGGTGGTGAAGATGGGGGGCGGGGTTGGTGAGGGCCACACCTGAGCTGTACTTCAGTGTTACTCCTGGTTTTGTGCCCAGGGAATATTCCTGGTAGTGTTTGGGAGTCCATACATGGTGTGAAAGATTGGACAAAGGTCTAAAACAAGGTCAACTATGTGAAAGGCAAGTGCCCTAACCCTTGTACTATTCTCCATCCACTTCACAAACAACTTGACCCCTAATATCCTCTTGACCTCAGACCCTACATTAACAAACAATTAACATATATTTAGCATAATAAATAGATTTACAATGTGTTTTACAATGCAGAGAAAAGACAATGCTATTAAGAAAATTATGAGAAGACATTTATATGGCTGGAAAACTTCAATACTATAAATTAATATCACATATTTACAAGAAAATAAGTGTGTATGTGGATTTGCTCGGTTTCAACCAGTGTTTTTCAAGGGTCAACTTAATTTTGTTGGCATTTAAATCAGATGGCATTACTACCCTTCATAAAAGTACACGATGAGGAGCTAGAGCGACAGAACAGTGGGTAGGGGGTTTGCCTTGCATGCGGTCAACCTGGGTTCGATTCCCAGCATTCCATATGGTCCACTGAGCATCACCAGGAGTAGTTCCTGAATGCAGAGTCAGGAGTAACCTCTGTGCATCACTGAGTGTGACCCAAAAAGTAAAAAAAAAAAAAAAGTACATGATGACTTTCCCGTTGCTCTTCAGATCAAGAAAAAGACATCTGACTTGGCTAAGGAGCTCCGTTTCAGGGACCCAGGAACATAATTTCCTTTTCTGGCAAACTATTGTAGATGTGGTCAAAGGTCCTGGCCACAGAATCATCCATTTATTTAAGAAGCTTAGTTTACATCCATTAGAATAAATACCAAGGAAGAAAACTGTCCTTGTTTAAAAGAAATAGGAATATTGATTCTGTATAAGAGTCTAGGAAATGCAAATTAGGCTAATAGGAGAGAGAGCAAATCAAGGGTTACCTAGGGCAGAGAGAGAAGCAGGAGGGATGCATTACACAAGTCTCAGGAAACTCTTGGAGGTAATAGAAAGGCATGCTTATTATTCTGATTGTGATGATGGCTTTGGGGGGTTATATAGGTATTGTCACTGTCACTGTCCTCCCATTGTTCATCAATTTGCTCAAGCGGGCCCAGTAACGTCTCCATTGTGACAACTGCTACTGTGTTTGGCATATTGAATATGCCACGGGTAGCTTTCCAGGCTCTGCCATGCAGGCAAGGTATTCTCAATAGCTTGCCAGGCTCTCTGAGAGGGGCCGAGGAATCGAACCTGGGTTTGGTCAGGTTGGCCACATGCAAGGCAAATGCCCCACCTGCTGTGCTATATAGGTATTAAAACCAAAATATATTCTTATAAAGTTAGCACTTTATTGTATGCCATTTCTACCTCAGTTTATGTGGGGTACCAAAAAAAAGATACCCACCCACAAATTAGACTAGGCTTCATCTTAATATGAAGTCAGACTAAGTAACTGACCACTCTTCTAATGAAAGCAACTAGCTTTATCCTGACATCCTTCAACTGCCTCAGAGAGCTGACAAAAAAACAAAGAATTATCAAGTCAAAAGAGTATACCACTGCCAGAATGAAGGGATTAAACTCAGTTTGGGAGTTTGCTTTTAGCTCTGAAGGCTTATAAACTTGGCAAATCTGAGTTTTCATGTTAAAGCCATAAGGGTCAAAATAATAGTAAAGCAAAAATAAACTCCCCACCCTAATTCCAAAGAACTCTAAGGAAAACTACGTTTCACAAAACAACACACAAGAGAATGTTCAGTACTAGGTAAAGGTAACCAGGGACAAAGAGAACTCTGAGTACTAGACAAGAAAGATCCACTCATATTAACTCTTAAAAAACATTCTAGGGGCTGAAGTGATAGTACAGCAGGTAGGGTGTTTGCCTTGCATGCGGCTGACCAGGGTTCAATTACCAGCATCCTATATGGTCCCCCAAGCACCGCGAGGAGTAATTTGTGAGTGCATTAGCCAGGAGTAACCCCTGTGCAGTGCCAGGTGTGACTCAAAAAGCCCCCCCAAAAAAACAATACAAAAAATATATAGTGTACATATCTAGTAAGAATAGTTCTAGGAGCCAGAGCAATAGTATAGTAGGTAAGGTGCTTTCCTTGCCCTCAGCTGACCTGGTCCCTGAGGTCGACCAGGAGTGATTCCTGAGTGCAAAGCCAGGAGTGATCCCTGTGCATCACTAGAAAGTCACCCCCCAAAATAAACAAACAAAAGAAATAGTTCTAGAGGGGGCTGGAGAGATAGTACAGTGGGGTAAGAGGCTTACCTTGCCCTCAGTCAACCTGGGTTTGATCCCTGACATCCCATGTGGTCCCCTGCTGTTGTTCTTGGTTGGGGGGGCACACCTGACAGTGCTTAAGGCTTAGTCCTGGCTCTATGCTTCAGTGCTTGGGGGACCATACAGTCCCAAGGATTGAAACGGGGTTGGCTATGAGCAGGGCAATCACCTTAGCCCCTGTATTATCTCTTCAACACACCTATATATTTTTAATGATAAATAACGACTAAGTAAAAAAGACAAACCTCTACCTGTTAGATAGAATGACGAAACAGAAATTAACATTTCTATTTGCTCAAATGGACAGAAATAACTCCATAAATATAAATAATTATAATAGCTATTTGTTTGGGAACTAAGCAGATGAGAGACAAAAAAAGCAAAGAGATTTTTTCCTGCATACCTGTCTTTTCCTCCTAGCTTTTTAATTTCCTGAATGTGTTATCTTCCAAAATATATAATAACCCAAGAGCAACTTCAAAGATAAACATGTGCAAAAGCTTAATGAACATAATTAAATTAATGTAGTGAAAATACATTTAATAGGTGAAAATGCCAATCTTGTACATTGGAGGACAAAATACCATGCAACAGTGCTTTTCCAGTTGAGACACTGGAAAAGGCAAGTTTCAGTACAACTTCAAAATTGCAGTGGAAGGAGCTGGAGCAATAGCACAGCAAGGAGGGCGTTTGCCTTGCATGCAGCCCACCCAGGTTCAATTCCCAGCATCCCATATGGTCCCCCAAGCACTGCCAGGAGAAATTCCTGAGAGCACAGCCAGGAGTAACTGCTGTGCATCACCAGGTATGACCCAAAAAGCCAAAAAAAAAAAAATTGCAGTGGAAGACTCAAAATCATAAAGACATCAGTACTTCCCAAATTGGTATGCATGACCAATTCAACCTTTTTTTCTTAAAGATCATCTTCAGAATTGGACTAGACAAGCTGCTTCTAAAATTTATTTTGATATGCAAAGGGCCAGAAACAGTAATGACATTGTCAAAAGAAAAGAGAAAAGAACTCCATGGCTTGGAGGCCAGCCATGCATGCTAGGGGAAAAGGCAGCTCAGATAGAGAAGGGAGCACCAAATAAAGGGTGTTGGGAGGATCCTCCCAGGATGGGAGTAGCATGCTGAAAGTAGACTATAGACCAAACATGACTGCCACTCAATGCCTCTTTTGCAAACCACAATACCCAAAAGGAGAGAGAGAACTAAAGGGAATGCCCTACCACAGAGGCAGGGTGGGATGGGGGGATTGGGGGGTGAGAGGGATACTGGGACCCGTGGTGGTAGAAAATGGGCACTGGTGGAGGGATGAGTATTTGATCATTGCATAAATGAAATCCAAGCACAAAAATTTGTAAGTCTACAACTGTACCTCATGGTGTTTCACTAATAAAAATTTTTTAAAAAAAAGAAAGAAAAGAGAAAAGATTTGCTATCCTGTCAATAGTATGAAACTTGAAACTAAATTATTTTTAAATGCTTTTTAAGAAAATTGTTAAGAGATTTTAAGCAATTATGATAGTCGCCTTAAAAAGATGACTACTTAGAAAATCAATTTAAATTAGATATTAAAGATACTCAAGTTATGTAACATTCAGCTAAGTTCTAGAACCAAAACTTACATACAATGAGAGAGAATTTCCTGATAAAATGATAACTTATTTAAAACTCTCAGAGTATCACATGAAATAAATAATTCATAATTTACCAGCATATATTCAATAATATTCTAAAAAATCTTCATTAATTATTGAACTCAGTAGCACTCCATATCATAACTTCAGAAATGAGATGTCAAATTCCGTAGCTGCAAATTCTCATGGCCATGGTAAGAGCTGTATTTGCACAGAGTAGGTGCAAACAGAGCTGAAATGGAGCTTTTATACTGAGAGAACTAATGACCTCCTCTTGCCTGAAGTCAAAAATGACAGCAACAGAGGAGTACTGGGGAGTGTGGGGATACTTTCAGTCTACTGGTTTTTAAATATGGCCTGAGGAGCCAGAGAGAGAGTGCAGCAGGTAGGGTGCTTACCTTGCAGGAGGCCAACCCATGTTCAATCCCTGGTATCCCATGAGGTGCCCAAACCCGACCAGAAGTGACCCCAGGATGAAGAGCCAGAAATAAGGCCTTCAATAATATTCTAGGAGCATAGCCAGGTGAGCTCCTCACAAAAAAAGGATATATATATATATAATATATATTCCCCCCCAGGATATAAAAAGCCTGAGAATCTTCTACATTATAAAAGTAAAGAGATGCTGGGAGAGAGGGGTAGAGAGAGACAAGGACAGGTAGACAGAAAGACACTGAACACCTCTCTTTCCCAGATGTAAAATTTCTCTTACATTCCTTAGGCATGCTCCAAGGGGCAAAGTCAAAAAACTTTTATAGGATCTTAATATTTGTCAGCCAGGATATGTCAGAACATGTCAAACAGCAATAGACTTAATCAGACAGTCTCACCTGGGTGGCTACAAGATAGATCAGCTCCCCGAGGGCTGGTAAAAGGCACTGTTTTAATTTGCTGTTCCTGAAATTTTCCCTAATTAATTCAGTTAAGATAACAATTGCCTGAAAAGAGAAAAGAAATGTGTATTATTGCATATGTATCTCTCAGTTCTTTAACCTACGCAGTACAAGAGACAAGACAAACTGCAAAACTCACCTTCCATTTTCAAGAACTAGTTCCAAATTCTTTCCAAAATATGGGTATTACTCCTGAACTACAAAGAACTCTCCCAGATGAATGTAAAAAATAAAAATAAAAAATCTACATATCCAATGGAGAGGTTGGAAATATGGCTCAAGGAGAAGGCATAAGCCGAGCAAGTTTTTAGTAGGATAGCTGGTAGCTGGTACAAGAGTTCCCTTAAAATAGTCACATCCTGGAAGAACAGTCGTGGATATACTATTTTTTAAAAAAAAAACATTTTATTCAGTTCTTTCATGCAATAAACTGCATATGCTTAAAGTGTACATTATATATATATATATATTTGACATGTGTATATAATTGTAAAATTATCACCATAATTAAGAGAGCAGCTTCTTTAAGTACTTCCTCAAGCTCCCTCAGTAACCATCTCATCTGCATTCAACTCCCCCTTCTCCCCAGACAGCCAACCAATTCGCCTTTTGTTGTTAAGGGACATTTTCTAAGGCTCATGTAAATAGGATCCTATAATATGTATATGACTACTTTCTTTTTTTTTTTTTCTACTTTGACTTTTTGGCCACACCCTGCTATGCTCAAGGGTTATTCCTGGCTCTGCACTCAGGAATTACTCCTGGTGGTGCTAGGGGGACCATATGGGATGCCAGAGATGAAACCCAGGTCTGCCGCATGCATGGCAAACGCCCTACCCACTGTACTACTGCTCCAGCCCCTATCTGGCCACTTTCACTTAGCATAATGCACTTATGATTCAGTCATGTCGTAGTAATAGTTTTTTGCTAGTGCTGAGTAGTATTCCCCTGTATAGATATACCATAATGTGTAAACTCCCTAACCCCTACCTCACATACAAGTTAATCATCTAAGGGTTTGAGGAGGTTAAAGGAATCATGTACATCATACTAGACTTTGGCAGCAACTCAATTCTATAATGTTTTCCTTTTACTTCTACCTTTACTGAGCCATAATTTCACACTGGACATCTAAAATTAACAACGTTCTATATAGAACAGACTATAACAATACTGTAGGAGCTGGAGACATAACACAGCGGATAAGGTGTTTGTCTTGCACGTGGCTGACCCAGGTTCAATCCCCAGCATCCCATATGGTCCCCTAAGCACTGCCAGGAGTGATTCCTGAGTGCAGAGTCTGGGGTAACCACTGAGCATTGTAGGGTGTTGCCCCAAAACAAAACAAAACAAAGCAAACAAACAAAAACACTGTAAATCACAGTGCCTAAAATTTTTTCAAGTTTACAAGCAAATCAAAAAAAATATTCTCTCATATTTTGGTCAACGAAACAGCAGTTTGTTACTTGTACACCTAAACAAAAATAATGGCTTAAGAAAATTATCCGAAACAGAAAATAATAATAAAAAAAAACTTTATACCAGCAAGAATGAAGCAAATTCACAAGTAAAAACAGAAGTAAATAAAATAGATTTTCCTTCTATCAAGTTTTTAAACTGTTTGATGGCTGAAGCAAGATATTAAAAGGCCTAACTAGGAGCGAAACATAATTAAAGGACTAAAGATATTTAAATATAAATATTTAAAATATTAAATATATTTTATTATATATAATATTAATATTATATTAAAATTAGGACAATTAAAGGACTGGAAAACAGATAAATCTATTTTCACATAAATTGGTAAAATACTGGTACCAACAAGCTGTGATGAATCTTGTATAATTCTATAATGGCATATGTAGAGTATTTAGAACAACCACTAAATATAGAGACATGTTAAAAACACTACAAAAATCTAAACAGAGTCTCACAAAAAGTTCAGTCACTCATGAAATCAGAAAAACCAAAAAGCAAATGAAAAACAGAACAAAGAAAGCTTAACACACCCAGAGGGCTGGGGCTGGGGGGAGGGGCACACCGGGACAATGGCTGAGGGAAGCTGATACCAGCACTTGGAGGGTGTGGTGCTGGAATGCTTTAGGCATGGAACCCTGCCATTATCAGTACTGTAAACCATGGTGTCTAGAATAAAAGGATAATGAAGAGAAAAATTAAGTGATATACTTATGAAACTGGATCGCTTATACATTGTTGGTGGTAATGTAAAATGATATTCACTTTGGAAAATAGTTTGGCTGGCTATACAAAAAAAACAACAATAAGAATAATTTAAAAAAAACTACTAGACATGCAACCAACAGGACCTAGCAACTTTCTGGTTCTTGAGAACTGAGCCCTGACAGACAAAAACTCATCCCAAAACTTTTACATTAAGGTTGATAACATTTTGTTTTCCATACCTGTCACTCAAAAACAACCTATCTGCCTTTCAAGAGATAAATGATTAAATGGGCTGGAGCGATACCACTGCGGGTAGGGCGTTTGCCTTGCAAGCGGCTGACTAGGCCACCCGAGTTCAATTCCTCAGCCCCTCTCGGAGAGCCCGGCAAGCTACTGAGAGTATCTCACCCGCACAGCTTTGCCAAGCTACCCATGACATATTCGATATGCCAAAAACAGTAACAACAGGTCTTTCGATGAACAACTGGAGGACAGAACTATAGTAAAACCACACCACAAAATACTACCCATAAATAAAAAGGAAGGGGCTGGAGAGATAGTCCAGAGGGTAAGGTGCTTGCCTTGCATGCAGCTTCAATCCCTGGTACCACATCTGATCACCTGAGCCCACCAGGAGTGAGCCCTAAGCTCAGGGCCAGGAATAAGCCCTGAGCACCCATGAATACGATCCCCTCTCCCCAGAAGGAACAAACTTTGGCCCCTACACTACCCAGATGAAGCTCCCGAGAATTAAACTAAAAGAAAAAATCCAGACCCAAAAGACTACACATTCGATGGTTCTATTCCTAGAATGTCTTCTGAATGGCCAGTCTGGAGGACACTGTAGATGGTAGTGTCAGGGCACATATGAAAGAGAGGTGGGTGTGGTGGGAGGGAAAAACTTGAGGGATCCTTGTGAGGCTGAATCTGTTCTGCTTCTTCCAGAGATTAGTGTGGTAACATTGTCATCCTAAAACACTTAACTCTTTGTCTGAATTTCAAAAGAAACTATTCCATTTCTTAACTGTGTCCATGGACCCAGTTGTGCCACTTGTACTACAGTTTTTCAAGATGTCACCAATTCAAGAAATACCAAATACAGATTTCACGGAATCTCTCTGCATATTTCCATGTATGCAACCCCAGATCCAACTTTCTGCTTCATTAAATTAGTGGCACGGATTTATAACATTTCTCCATTTCCTAATCCGCAGGCATTTTGTATCAGTGGAAACTTAAAATATTTTAATACTACAACACTTAAAGAAATGAAACAACATGAACTGTCCTGAGCAGAACAGAAGTGACTCTGAACAGAACCCTTTATGCCCACGGTGCCACAGCATCCCAGTAATTCACTGGCAACTTTTACAGCAAGCGACAATACATAGCAGATGTTTCCCTACAATGAAATTTGGATAGATTTTTTTTTATTGGTGATTTTCAGATTCTAAAGGATCAATATTAAAAAGAAAAATCATTAGAATAAACAAATACAGTACATGAATGACAATTACTAAGGAGGCTAATAAGCATGTGTTGACCTAAATATAATGACGTCTGAAAATACCAATACTAAACAAAATGAAAATGGTAAAATAGATTGCTCAGCTCTTCAGACCCAGAAATCCAACCAATATGTGGGTATTGATCTTATTCATGTTTTCCTATAAAAATTCACTTGGCTTTCTAACACTGAAATTAAAAGAAATTAAAATGACATTGAGGGGGCCATGACACAGTACAGCAGATAAGGCACTGTCTTGCACACAGCTCACCAAGGTTCAGTCCCATGCAACATATATGGTCCCCTGAGCACCACCAAAAGTGATCCCCAAGTGCAGAGCCAGAACTAAGCCCTAAGCACTGCTAAGCATGGCCTAAAAGCTAAAAAAAAAATAATAATAATAAGGATTGAGTGGTCTGGTATGTGGGTTCAAATAGTAAAACACCATATTGCTTGTATGTTTGTTCCATCCCAAAGACCACTTGGCCCTAATAACCTTGAGTACTTCTGGGTATAACTCTTAAGCATAATGATAAGGAGCAGGGAAATAGTGCAGTGGTTAACCCAGATTCAATCCTGGAATCACCTGGGTCAGGCATCAGCAGGTGTGATACAGGAGGTCCCCCAAGCACTGACGGGTACTCACGAGCACCACAGGCCTGAGGAGCATCACTTCTCAGGCCCCACCATTAAACTGGCTGAGCAATGCCAAGAGGGGCCCCAGGACCCCCTTAAGACTTCTGGGGAGGTCCAACACAAAAATAAAAATAGTAATAATTAAAAAAATGACAAATAATTCCAAGTAATACCACTTTGGCCATCCTTTTTTCTCCTTCCAACACCATTTTCAATGTCCCAAATATAGTGAGGAGATATAAAAATCATTATAACCCTCATATATCTGTTAAATTTTATTTGTATTAAATCCTAGATTTTTTTTCAGAGCCTGCATTTCTGATTAAGCTTTGACAAGTAAAATCACAACTATAAGACACAAAAATCCAAACTTTCCTTTTCACAAATACTGGTTAAACAAGAACCCCATCAAAGATTAAAAACTCTGAAGTTGTTCATCAAATAAGAGATGAACCAGCTGACTTTCCCAAAGAGGACATATGGATAGTCACTAGGCATAGTAAAAAAAAAAATCCACTCTAATTTATTATCAGGAAATGAAAATAAAAATGACAATGAGGGGCCAGAGAGATAGGACAGTGTACCACTTGCTCTGCATACAGTAAAACCTGGTTAGATCCCTTGATACCTCCAGGCATGATCCCTGAGCATTAAGCCAGGAGGAAGCTCTGAGCACTGCTGAGTATGATGGAAAAATCCAAAAAATAGATACTGG